GAGGGTGTAGGTGTGTAGGGACATGCACAGAGGGTGTAGATGTGTAGGGACGTGCACAGGGAGTGTAGGTGTGTAGGGACATGCACAAGGAGTGTAGTGATGTGCAAGATAAAGATGGGAGAAGGGCATTCTAGGTAGAATGGAGTGAGCAAGGACATGAAACAGCATGGTGTGTGCCTATGATGCTCAGCACTTGGCTATGGCTGAAGCCCCGAGTGGGAGGTGGTAGGTGATGGAGGCCAGGAGATGCTCAGGGAGAGAGCATGGAGGGAGAGGACTTCCCCTGAAGCTGTTCCCTTGTGAAGGAGATGCCTGATCCTTTCAAGAGCGATGATATTCCTCCCACAAGCCAGCAAGCTGGATGGTCACGTGTTTTGGGGATTATTTTAAGAAAAAGGGTCAATTTTCTGTACCCAGACCCCACCACGAAAGCCCAAACCTCCTTCTACATCCCTGAACAAGCCAGACAAGGGGCTGTCAGTCAGCTGGAAGAGTGGACGGAGACGGGAGCTCAGGAAGAAATCGATGGTTTGGGTATCATCTAAGATCTTAAGATCCCATTAGATGCTTCTCTGGACAATTCAAGCATCTCCCAAAAAGCTGTTTTGAGACTAAGCACATCATCTTAAATGGCTCTCACGAACCTGAGCACCAGGCAGCAGAGACACTGTATTTCCATCTCTTAAGACAAGTATAAAGAGATTAAAAGCTCATTTTCCCAGGTCACTACGAAGTTAGGCCCTCTATTACCGGACCGCCAACTCCCACGCACACCCCACCTCCTGCCCCAGACATGCGTTGTTACTATTCAGAGGAGAAAAAGAGTCTTCTCCAGTATTCACTCTCGAGCAAATCCAATACAGCCAAAATAAGGAGGGTGGAAAGATTTACAGAGTTTGCCTTCACCCAAGGAGTCCCTTGGTGGTTCAAACCATTAACACACTCATTTACTAACCGAAAGATTGAAGGTTCGAGTCCACCCAGAGACAATTCAAAAGAAAGCCCTGGCATCTACTTCCAAAATCTTAGCCATTGAGAACCCTATAGAGCAGAGTTCTACTCTGACACACATGGGGTTTCCATGAGTCGGAATTGACTCGATGGCAAGTGGGTTAACTACTTTATATCAGCAACAAAACTAGTGTTTGACACATCATTTGGGCACCATAGCCTAGCCAAGTTGACATATGAAACTAACCATCACACCCAGGGCAGCTAATTGGGGTCTTGACAAAAAGGATTCAGGGATCATGGACACTTGAGAAACCTGGGTCAAGCAAGATGAGAGAGTGCTCCTTACTGCCGATCTCCTTGGGGACATAAGTATGTTAACGAGCATCACAACCCTACCCAGAGGAGAACATTCTGTTCCACTCTCCAACCCTTCTCTCCAACACCCAGCACTAGCTGTTCCCTGAACACCCTGGGGAAGTGCTGCTGATTGTGTTCCCCATACTCTGTCTTTTTATGCCCAGGCCAATGCTTCTCATTATGAGCTCTAGTTTAAAAAAAAATAATTGCAGAAAACATTTCTTCCCAAAACTTTTAGTCTGTGAATTCTCTGTCTCTAACCAAACATGTATACACATCCTTATTTCTCCATTGAAATGGCTATTTAAGAGATTTGGTCCCTGGGGAAATAAACCTTCCACCACTCATCTGTTACTTTGTCCTATTGTGGTGGCTTGTGTGTTGCTATGATGCTGGAATCTATGCCATCATTATTACAAATTCCAGCAGGGTCACCCTTGGTAGAAAGTTTTCAGCAGAGCTTCCAGACTCAGACAGACTAGGAAGAAAGTCTTCCGAAAATCAGCCAATGAAAAGTTTATGGATCACAAAGGAATATTGTCGATATGGTGCAGGAAGAGGGGTCCTGGTGTTCCTGCTAACCCAGTGGTTGGCTGTTCAAACCCACCAGATGCTCCACGGGGAAAAAGACCTGGCAACTTCTCCCATAAAGACTGTGTTGTTATTGGGAGCCATCAAGTCAGTTCCAACTCCTAGCAACCCTATGTACAACAGAACGAAACACTGCCCATTCCTGCGCCATCCTCACAATCGTTGCTATGTTTGAGTCCATTGTTGCAGCCAGCCACTGTGTCACTCCATCTCATTGAGGGTCTTCCTCTTTTTGGTCGACCCTCTACTTTACCAAGCATGATGTCCTTCTCCAGGGACTGGTCCCACCTGATAACAGGTCCAAAGTATGTGAGATGAAGTCTTGCCATCCTTGCTTCTAAGGAGCTTTCTGGTTGTACTTCTTCCAAGACAAATTTGTTCATCCTTCTGGCAGTTTATGGAATATTCAATATTCTCGGCCAACACCACAATTCAAAGGCATCAGTTCTTCTTTGGTCTTCCTTATTCATTGTCCAGCTTTCACACGCATATGACGCAATTGAAAACACCATGATTTGGGTCAGGCGCACCTTAGTCCTTAAACTGACACCTTTGTTAGGTTTATATAAGCCAAAAACAGTTGCCTATACAATAGCAAATAATGAGGCCAGTGACTGTAGCAGATGCAGCCTCAAAGTTGAGAAGGCCAAGGACACAATGAAGGTCAATGCTTCTGTATATACAAGGACCAGACAAACTTCAATAGATGTTCTTATTCAAATATGGGAAGAATGGGAGGCACACAGCAGTCACTGGTCCATAGCAGTCCTAAAATCCTATTGGGTAGACATTGTGGGGTTTCTACCATGAGATGGAGAATGTTCTCTGAAGAAGCCCTGGCTCTGCTCCCTGGGAGTAGCTCCCAGTCCATTGTTTTCTGTGGCCTTTCACTCTACATTCTGGAAAGTTCTCCCTTTTCTTATTTTCCTCCTTGGTTACATTGGAAAAAGCCATTGGAGAATGTTCTATTTGAGAAGACTGCACATCTTTCTCAGACTGCTTCCTGCACATAGAAATTAGGAGGTTCAAGGATCACTTTTAAGGAGCACTGGTGACTCAATGGATAAGTCCTCGACTCCTTACTGAAAGAT